GATTTGATTTCCAGATGAATAATATGTTTATAGATTAGCGGCATATATAGAGGGTTCTTCGATTTTTCACGCTCTTGCTTGCGTATCTCCAAACATCAGTATCGCATAATTTCAAATTTATAGAAGCGATAAGTAGTCTCGAGTAATCTTCCTGCTTTTTTTGTTGTTAAGTATTCTTTGAATTTATTAGCTGAGATAACACTTTTATTTAATGATTTATCGATCACGAGCTAAACTCACGATGCAATGCGGAGTCATCATTGTTTAGCTTCCGATATAAATCTAGACGCAGACTTTTTTCTTAGACAGTTACAAGATAAATTTTGAACCCGGAACATTTAAGCACTGTTGAATAGTCAATTTTAAGGACACTCTTATAAACATATTGAAGTTCAAGATCTTTGTGCCCGTTGCCAGATGTACACGGGACCTGGTGCTAAATTCCGAGACACTCCCGGATTTCCCGTCCATCTTGCAATCCCTAGTTGCCATTTGAGAATTTAATTAAGTTTTGTTCCTATAAGTAGTTTTTATTCAGGAGTTATTTTTATCATCGGTAAATATATTTCTTATTACGATTAATTTACTGCATCTTTTACACCATTATGTTCAAAAATATCCTAGAACAAGCTACGATTATTACATAACATTTGTGTGACATTGTTATTTAACATTAGCATACAAATTGATAGATGCTTATATGTTTGAGGTTTCAATAATTTCAATTCGAAATAGATTCAAATTCTTTAATATCCGTATAATTATGTTATATAAAGTAAAGTATCGGTGTTGTGGGAAACCGTAAAAGAATCGTTTCCTCTCTCAATTGAGAGGGGATTATTTTATTATTTCTTCTTTTTTTTCTTTTTTTCAATTCTTTTATTAACTAATGAGTTACAGATTTCTCTAACAATTAATAGAATTAAAATATGCATGTGAAGTATAAAATTAATATTGTGTTTTATTGCCTTATCTAATGCTGCGTTTCCACAGTGCTCAGAACAGTTCGAGCGAGCAAACATTTGTTCGCTCGGTAAATTAAATGCACAAAACAATATTGCGTTGTTTTCATCGATGACTGAGTAAGACAGCATTCGTTCCCCGTGTCCAGTCAAACATCTTGGTATGAACTCGTTCGCTCGCTCTTACGTTTTCATTTAGCGAACGAGCAAAAGTTTGCTCGTTCAGGTTCGTAGCTTAAGTGAAAACACAGCATTAGATTGCATTGCAAATGCGGTTTTTATATTCATAAATAAATATTTGATTACATACTTATTTATATTCTCATACAGTTGCGATGTTGGAACCGTCCCAGATCTCCTTGCTTTGAAAACATCAGCAACGTATTTAAAAGCAATATAGCCTAACGTACCTCTGGAATTGTTCTGTTATTGTACCCACATAATTATAATCCCGATTGTTATTGGAACAATAGATACACACATGCAATAATTCGATATCAAAACCTCGTAAAATAATAATGTCATTTTCGTTTGAGATTATTAATTAATTTGTAATTTCAATAAATTACATGCAATCATGTATCTCTTAAATGAAAATCAATTTTCTTACTAGTATTATTTGAGAAAGGCTACACCAAATTTGGTTATCTGGTTATATTTATTATAATTATGGTATATAAAAAAATAGCAAAAAGTAGGATCTTATGCATAACCAGGGCTAATCATTGGTTTAGAAGAAAAATATTTTTCAGTACTATTATATATTATAGTATTCTACTATATTAGGGGATCAAAAATATATATTAAAAAATATATATATATAGTAGGCGAAACTACTATATCTTGGTTAAAGTAGACATTTGCTAGTAACAGCTTTCTTAAAAATAACTAAAATATTTATTAAGGCATAGAGTAGCAAAATATATTCATAGTATATGTTTTTTTCAATTATTTTGCCGTTTACTATATTTTGAGAGGTCAGCTTCGAAAATACTATATTTGATAGAAAAAAGTTGGTAACACTTTAAAGTACATTCATGTAACAATGGTATACAATCTCTGGTCAAAACAAACTTTTCCTTGACAATTAAATATGTACCCTACGTTGAATACCAAAACTTCACGCGCAGTGAATGGTTGGATTTTAACTAGGTAGATATAGAAAGCGTTTATTGATCTTTTCCAATATCGATCAATCAATAAATCCAAACATAAGTATCTGTAGTGAGAGATAGGCTGATTAAGATACCGTTGTTTTGTTAAGTTTAATGTATTTTTTTTTAATTTGTGCAAACCCAGTCCAAATATATGCAACATGTATATCAACATACTTTTACAAACATTCTACCAAAGTTATAAATTTCATGTTGACCTGCTTTTCATCGTCCATTTTTAGCATCTCATTATCCTTTTGTAACACTCTCATTACATGAAGGTCAGTTTGCAAACACACCAACGTGTTCCCACTTAAGCTACTTATGCATATTTCATAAAGGTAGTAGTAGTATTTTCTAGTCGAATATCCATTTCATAACTTGTAATCTTCGCCAACGTTTGGGCAACTTGATTTCATACTGTCTCATGTGGAATAAGTTGCTTACTAATTGTTGCGGAATTTTTGTTTTTTTAATGGCTAATCAGGCTATATCAGGTAATAATTTGTTGGTTTAATATTATCTGTATATGCATGATGCGTGGAGGTGATCAAGTTTTGGTGTATTTTTAAATAACTACTTTTTATGAAGTTCATAAATAATGTTAGACGGTATTAAGAAAGTTGTCGAGTGCCCTATTTATGGGTAAAAGTATATATATATTTGTTTTCTCATAAATTTAAATATTAAACTAAAACCAGACAAATCTTAAAACTATGTTAGGATTTTAAAACTTATAATGAAATCGGAACATTGAATTATGAAACATGATTTTGCATTTGGTAATTAAGATTTCTAAGGAGCTGTGTAAAACGTAGACACTTTTTGTTACCGACACGGCACACCATCACAGGAAACTGTAGTTGCTGTGTCCTGTTTCGGCGATCAGACATTGCGCCAGTCGCTATTCCGGGATGTCGATTTTACTAATGTATAATCGTGTCCCAACAGTGGTTCAATAGTATTGCTTAATTTGGTAAACAGTCGACTATCCTCTACAATTATTTTTCTCTACATTCGTAACATTAATTTTCTTTTTAAGTAGACAGAAATCGATTACTTACAATTGATATTTAAATTCGTAATTTTCTTTACAAGATCTTCATGTATTAATCACATCGCCTTTGCTTTCTCAACATTCTTAAATCGTTTCATACATACTAATAAGTGTTTAAGCTAATCACGCACGACGCATTACGTTTAGGACGATGAATATTTTTCGCGGAAAACCTATACATATATAATATATATATATATATATATATATATATATATATAAGTGTACCTATTACATATTAATGTTTCTACAAAAATTCGCTGTAGTTACTGTCATTATTGCTAAATATAATATTGACTGTAGTCCCAGCCCAAGCAGGGATTTTGAGATTTATTTGAGCGCGGCAGAGTCACATAATGGCACAACCCAGCACATTGTGAAGTACTCCCACCAGACCTGAGCCCTTTATGTTGGGCCGAACGTCTAGGCCAGCAAAAAATATGTTTAACAAACGGCCATGACTTTTGGTCGAGTCCAAATTTTCAGCCTCCTTAATAGAAGCTACTGGAGGGTTCATGTAATGTGGTCTGATGAGGAAAATAATATTAATCTCGATTTGCACGGTGTTGGGATAGCCGTACAAAGGGTTGAATATAGGAAAAATAGGTTCGAGCGTGTCTGACATTGAGAAGAGATATTACGTGAATCCTCCAGTAACTCCTATTCAAAAGGCTGACGATTTGGAAGCGACTCAAAGTCATGGAAGTTTTTTTTTTTGCATCCTTAGACGTTCGACTGCATATAAAGGGCTCAGATGGTATATGGATTACTTCACAAGGTGCAAACTTACCCCCTTATGTTATTCACCCCAAAAATCCTTGCCTGGGCTCCCCTGCTGTGATGTATATTATATTTCCATATTGCAGTTTCATTTTATAAGTAAAAGTCTGTGTAAACTCTAAGTAGCCTAATCTAAAACACTTTGAACTTTTCGTTTACATAATGGTCTGATCGCATAATTAAATTGTCCAAAGTTTTCTATGACACTGCATTATTTAACTCAACAGCTTGTCCTTCCTTCTTTGTAGACAAAACTTCAACATGTCCTTGAATTAACTGGGGCCGGAAGTATGTTCGCAAATCAAATAGAAATGTTTAAATTAAAAACAATAAGTTGCACGCCGTTGTTGTTTCGGTGCGTCCGGATATTGCAATAAACACAATAGCTCTCGTGTTGTGATTAAATCGGTGGTCGTTGTTCAATCTCCCATGTCCCTGTTGAGGTTAGAAGCTTTGTTAATTACTGTGATTACCGATTTCTACACCTATTGTTAAAAGGTAGTCTTTATCAAACTGATAGTCATCAAACAAATGCTACTAGTCTTATTTCTGCTGATAGATCATCAAAGCTTTATAAGAGAGTCAACTATAGGGTAAGGAGTAAGCTTTGGTATTTTGACGACCTCCGTGGCCGAGTGGTTTATACGCCGGGTTTCATGGTGACGCTGACTCGAGAGGTCCCGGGTTCGAATCCCGGTGGGGGCAGATGTTTGTGTGATGAATACGAGCATTTGTACTCCAGTCATGGATGTTAAATATGTATTTCAATATAAATATACTTATATATGTACAATATATGTATGCTATCCGTTACCCTAGTATCCCATAACACAGGCCTTACAGTGCTTACTTTGGGGCTAGGCTTAGTGTGAGTGTTGGAAATATTAAAAAAATATTAAATATTAAATATTAAAATATTATATTCATCTGGAAACAAGGACAAGTTAGCTATTAGGCCGAAGATAGATTTTACATTGCCACAAAATTACCTATGATTTGACTTTTTAGTTTTTAGAGAAATTTCTTAAAAATCACTTTTTGTTACAGGAAAAGAGATGCCGAAACCCACCCACAGCACCTCAGAAAATAGAAAGAGTGATCACATTATGTCAAGATGAAATCAAGCTGTCCATCCTGAGAGGTAATTAATCTTTTACTATATTACTTATGCTTATTATATTTTCTTAAGGACCAATAAATTAATCTAACACTCAGAAAAAAATAATTATACATAATGATTAATTAACAAAATAAAATAAACATAGAAATTTGTGATTGATTATAATATTTAGATTTTTTCTTGTCACTCCACATAGACGATTTGCTTATTTTTAGGATTAGGGCGCAAGAAACTCTACAAAACTAAACTGGTTCTAGATACAAAAAAAAACGAGTGGGTCTATGACCACACGACTGAAGTGAATCTTCTTTAGCTCCATCTGTACATATCTCATTGCTTTGTCTTGCTTATATCCCCCACTCAACTCCCGTTTGCCTCGCCCGAACACACTTTTCGCAACGCGTAACGCATTCGCCAGCTTATCCCCAAGTCAAGCGCAAGTAAAGAAGTTTCACTTCAAAAAAGTTTTTAGAATAGAGAGGTCCCCCCCCCCCCCCCCCCCCCCAAGACGCTTTGGCGTTCTAGCACCCATGCGTTAAGCACGTTCCTTTTTCTTGGGTGACAGCAAGATCTGGAAGAAGGAACCTCTCTCAGCGGTTTTCCCTTCTTGCGCGGATAAGACGGTCTTCAAACGGCGGGTAAAACTTTTACTTCAGAGCTGGAATAGCAACGGCATACCCTTGGTGTTACAAATGTCCAATGGCGGCAGTGATCACTTACCATCAGGTGGATTGCCAGCTCGTTTGCCTGCATAAACAAAACTTCAATAGTTGTATTATTATGCCTTTAATTTACGTATTAAAGATTTAAGCCGCGAGAATTTCGCCTTTATTTCATGCTATACGACCCCCGTTCGTTGATACAGGTGACGAAATTAAAACCACTCTGAGGAGGTGACAGAAACCCTCACGGATGGTGTCACACGTGAAAGTTGATATGCATCGGCCGAGAACCAGTTGTCGACCCCCTCGTATGAGTGGCTTTGCTCATTACGTTAGCGAACTATTGAAACCGAAATAAAAAATCAAATACGAAATCGTATTGTCAGCCTTGCTCTTGTTACTATCAGTGTTTGACTTGGTAGTTGGTATTATTTATAAGTAATTTTTGGTTCTTATTCAAGTTAATTTTAACTTCAATAAGGTCTACAATTTACTTACCTTTTAAAGCTCTTTCCCTAATTAAGATATTAATATATAATACCTACACCTTTGACCTACACAGCAGATTTCCTCGCATGCAAGCGCCCAACTGAAAAGGTAACCACAACCTGATGTATTTAGGTACCAACGGAATTTTTTTTTCAAGTTCCATCACGACACCTTTCAGTTCGCCGCTTTAAAGATTTTTATAATTCAACTCTGCTCTGGTATCAGGCTGAAATCAAATCGAAAATCAGGCGGTTTAAAAAATTTATCATTCGATAAAAGTTTCTAAACATATTTCAAGAGCAAAACTAAAGGTTAGTTTTACTTATAAGTGTTGAAATAAAAACCTGAGAGGAAATGACTCCACAACAAATATTTACGACTAAAAATTTAATAGTTTTATTTCAATATTGGCATATTGCCTTATTGCATAAACGGAAAAAACTGCAACTAATGTTAAAAAATTAACGAATAGAGTGTAGCGTCTCTTATAAACTGCTAGATTTAGTGTAGTAATTACGTCTACACTATCTTTCAAGAAGGCGGAACATAAACAACAAACCATTGTGTCTTCTTTTCGAGGTGTACCTCTTATACTTTCCCGCAACGGATGCGTCGCCTACTCGTGTGTTCAAAGTTCTAAAACAATGTAAAACTGTCACCGTGCTACGTAGATAAGATAACGTATACACGCCCAGAGAAAATTATCGTTTTCCTATTCAAATCAGAGCTTGGAACAATATGGGTATTGTAGACTGAGAAATCTTTGTCATCGCTAGTTCGTTGTAATAGCCATATCTTCTTCTTGAATTTGATAACTTTATATCGATATGTTTATCTTTTCTTTGTGGATTACATATGTTGTTCTTTATATTATCACATTATTATTACACAGTCTTTTCGTCAAAATTGTATGAAGAAAAAGAAAGTAAATAATTATTGCTTTTGTTCATAAGATTAAAAATTACTTTTGAACTTCATCGCCCGTTCTGTGCTCTAGGCATATTCAATATTTTGTACTTAACGATACTGTAGAAAATTATGTGAATATGCAATTAGCTCTGTTTGTAATTTAAACAACAAAAAGAAAATCAAGAGAAATACTAAAAATATCTATTCCTATTTTTATTCATCAAATTCACGACTATTTCGCTGACATCATAAAGTCACATATTTGGCTCTTTCGTGTAGGAAGTGAACGCCCACACAACACCCAAGAATTATGACCTTAATTTTTAAGTTATCTCTTTGCAATACTAGATGGCTATATGATGTGTTGTGATTGCAATGTTCTTCCTTAAGATAAATATCAACAGTTAATAATCTTATTTATAGCTAGGTAGGCAAATGACTCTACTCTCTCTACCTCACCTGATGTTAAGTGGTGATAAAGTCCAGCCGCAAAGGTAGCTGGTACAGCAGTTAAAAACTGCCACACCAACCATCCTCACTTTCCAGCCTATAGAAATGCTTCTTCGCGCCTCTTTTAAAGGATCCCAGGTAGTAAGAGGGAGGAACACGTGAGCGGGCAGAGCATTCCATTTACGGATAGTAAGACAAAGAAATGAGTCACCAATTTCTTTGTACGCGTAAGAATAGTGGCCACAGATAGTCGGTGACAACGAAGGCCAGCACGCGTGATCCTCTGAAGGAAAGGGGATGGAGAGATAAGTGAGAATAACTCCTCAGAACACTCGCCGATGTAATAATAACTTAATTGAAAGCATATAGAAACTCTGATCATTGACTTAAAAAAAAGCACATTTAAACTCTTTTGAACAATGTCATTTCACCATGGACATACGATAGGTTTGGGAATTCTCCATTTTTACGCTTATCCTTAACAAATTCCCCTTTATTAATAAACGAGAAATAAGCTGAGGTTAGTTACACTGTGTTTTATTCATATCACAGAAGTGCCATTTGTCATTCAAGAGACAAAACATGGAGTAACTAATTCATGCTTATACTTAGTTTATTAATAAGGAGGATTGTGCTGCATATGTGATGCATGTCAGTCATTGTATTTGGTCTCCATAAGGTCAAGGCAACTCCACAATACGCATCGCCTAATGCCAGACAATATAGTAACTATTCAATACAAGTCGCCAACCTAAGCGCATCGCTTATAACGTGATTAAATGCGATAGTATAAAAAATATGAAATAAGGTTAAGGCGGATTTTTCCGGACATGCCCGGACTTTTTGCCCTTTGTCCAGCTTTTTAATTTGTTCGGATTTTTTTAATTAGGTGGAATATGAGTAAACTACTTATTAAGTTACATCAAACAAGTCAAATAAAGCTTATTAAGTTCTCATTAATTTAAAACAAAATATAAATCATCTTTAAAAATCAACACCAAGACCCCTCTCGCGATGTGAGCGTCTGCTACCACGCGTATAATATCACTATAACTAAGTGGGTGATGTTTGCATTTTTATCGAAATGTCCGGCTTTTTGTCAGGACCTTTCAAAATTTTAAATAGTAACCCTACTCCCACCTCTCTGATGTGATCGGTGTCTCTTCTGATGCGACACATCAGAAGCCATCACGACACATCGCGACACACAGATATAATTCTAATCATACTTAATGTATGAAACCGATACCTCTGACGCGTCACGAGGGCACGATACAACACGACAGGTAGTATATATTCTATTGCTGCCTTTAGTCACCAAACGTGTGTCTTAACTTTTAGCAAAATGCTCTTTGCAGCTTTACTCCTTATAACTAGTTCTCAAATTTTATTTTTGTAAAAGTATTATTTTATCATGGAGTCTCAACATATATGAGGCAGGGGTTATGAAGAGGCAACTGCAACTGGTTTTTTCCTTATGTTATATTAAATGCACGATTAACCTCATATTTATATAATTTATTATTTTTATTTATCTGTATTTATGTATAAATACCTAATTATATTTATGTGTAGACACGTGTATTTTTATGTTAATGTTAAATTGGTTTTCCTTGAGTACATAGGTACATATTCAAATGGATTCGATGTTACAAAGTGGATGATCTTAATTGGCCTCCAAAATTTATAAAATATTTTTTCATGTAGAAATATATCGAGCTGTGATTGTCTTTACAATAAATAAATAAATAAATATAAGTATGTATTGCAATCCAATATTACAAATTGGTATAATATACACTATTAAAGTGTTTATTATCGCTAAGTGGTGTGTGAACGTCCGCCTGTGGACCACATGCGCTCTACCTCGGGTCGAGTTGTCAAGGTCGCCAGTGAAAGTAATCAGACGCAACCGCACCGTGACGGCATCGAATAGGGCTGTGCAACTATCCTATCGATAGTTTCTGCTTTATTATCTCCAAAACAAACGTATCGGTATTACTATAACTTGGACTTACCTCGGAGTCAAGCGTGTTAATATCGATTGTTATAAATTAAATGGACTTGTTTACACTGTTTATTTATTAATTTAATTCAATGAAATCGTTAAATTTATTTACTTTTTTGCGTATTTTCATGCATACAATGAACAATCACAATACAATCATTTTAATTTTCTAAATCTAAATTGATGAAAAATAAACTATTAGTGGTAACACTTTTGTTATTTTTATTTCGATTATAATTATTAAATATAATCTACATCCAATTACAAATACTATCGTTATTAAGGAGTGCCAAATATTTTAATCATTTCTTAAATAGTTGCAAACTATGCAATTAAAAGTTTGGGACTTTTAGTGTTAGATCGCTAGCCTAGTCCGGGATATGATTTGACGTTATCTCATGTTCCATGTCACGATACTCGTATAATCACGATAGATGTTGCTAACGCGACATCACTATGACGCTATGTAGATCGCAGGTCTGTTTGTGTTTTCAGATAAAATA